CCCTCTTTTAGAATCAAAGTGCATGTGCAAATTTGCCACAGGGCTCTGCCAGGTATTTGGGACCTGGCTAAACAGCATGTCTGTACACATGCTGGGGATCCCTGCTCATGTGCAGAGATTATGTTGGTTTTGTGAGATTGGGCATTGCAGAGACCATGGCATCTGTGCACATGTGCTGTGATTCCTGCACGTGCGCAGACTTGATTAAACTCATGTCTTGTGTGACCATGCTCTGAATCTTCCAGCATGCATCGGTCTTCAGTAAAATGCTACTTCCTAGAATCTGTGACGTGGCGATCCCAGAAGACAGTAGAAAGCTCCTATGTAAATTTGGCCTAGGCCAAAAAGTTAAAAAATAAATAAAAAAAAAAAAACACTACTGTATGAAACTGAAAGATATAACCATTTTTCATCTCTGTAAGAGGAAAGGGGAAGGAACTAGAAGAAGTCAATTTGTTACAAGTTCCACTTTAATGTGTTTTCTTTTATGCACGAAAGACAGGTGTGTGTTTTAGATGGGTTTTTAGGTGGGTTTTATGCGTAGTACTATTCATCCCTATGCAACTGCTGGAGACTTCACCTAAAAAAAAAAAAAAAAAAAAAACAACTCATCACATGACAATGCATAGATGAGGACACATAGGGGACATTGTCTTTACTGGTGAATTTTGTACCTAAAACGTTACAAAGAAATAGAAATAGCAGTCAATATTTTTCCATATTGCCAGAAAGAGCAAGGTCTTTTCTATTCTGTAACATGTTTACAGAAAGCAGAATCTGGCAAAAGTTCAGCTAGACATACATTTCTAACAGTTGGAAATTAATTTCAATCTGAGCATTCTAAATCTCATTGCATCTCATGCATTTGTGGGGCATCGGAGAAGCCATGCACTCCTGGTGCATAAAGATCAGACGAGGTTTCAAAACCTGTATGATCAACCCAGAATCAAGGACAGGCAGGGGGTGTTTGGTGTTGCCCATAGACATGAAACCCATCTAGTGTCACTGGAAACTTAACATTTAAATGGATGATTGGACATTTTTAATATATAAAGTCAGTGAGAAAAATATTGGGATTCTTTTTTTTTGTTTTTGTTTTGTAACTTTCTTTCCTGGAATCTAGGGGGTTGTAATTTTGATTGCTTGAGAAAAAAAAAAAAAAAAAAACAAAGATCATGCTTTTTGGATGATGAGACATTATTCATTTATATAGTCGATGAAAAGAATATTGTGATCCTTTACTTTTTTTATGCTTTGTAACTATCTTTTCTGGAATGTAGGGGGTTGTCATTTTTTATTTAAGGAAGAGAATCTTCAAGAGATGCATTAGTTTGGAGTGGTCTGATCAGGAGCGGACTGACCATTTGGAAACTCAGGCACTGCCCAAGGGCCCGGGGTCAGTAGGGGGCCCCATGGGATGCCCCTGGTACCTTTTTCATAGCCTATTTTGAGTTTGGGAAAGGACACAGGGGCCACATGATCCCCTATTACCCGGGGGCCCCATGAGTTGTCAGTCCACCCCTGGGTCTGATAAGAGTTTGTGTAGATAAAGCTCTTTTAAGAAGGGAGGAATGCATACTCTTTGAGAGGGCCCAGATGTGACAATTTTGGATTCAATTGTTAACAATGAAGACATGTATACATGTCTTTCCAGTAGTATTTTATTTATTTATTACAGGTACTTTTATAGCACCGACAACTTACACAGCAATAAATATATATTTATACAGGAACCAGTTAAAATACCAGCATGTCTGTGGAATGCGGGAGGAAACCGGAGTACCAGAAGAAACCCACACATGAACAGGGAGAACATGCAAACTCCAGGCAGGTGGTGCCCTGGTTGGGATTCAAACCAGCGACCCTAGTACTGCCAGGCGGAAGTGCTAACCATTTAGCCACTGTGCTGTGTTAAGACCAATTACCTATTTGTAATGTGTATGCTCAATTTAAAAAAGGTGATTTATAAGAGGTTGTTACCCCTACCATAAAGAATGTAGCGGTTCCATCCTCCTTCACAATCCAAAGTGTAATTTTTTTATGCAAGAAGTCAAAAATCTTTAGAAGTAATACTTTAAAGCTGCATTTAATGAAGCAAGATGCATTAAAGATATGCCAGATTCTCGGTTTCACTTTAAAGAGTTATTAAACCCAAATACAAACGCTTAATATATTGCAGATTACTAATTCCTAGATGTGGTAATTTCATTAATTTTCTATTAGGCTTTTTTCCCCCTTTATTTGCAGCTGGTGATCCGGCCAGTAATTCTATTTTTCAACTTCCTTTAGAAAACTAAGCTGTCCAGCAGAAGCAGCAGTGAGAGGGTTGAAGCAAATAGCTTTAGGGCTCATTCAGAAGGGCGCTGAGTCCCATCCTCCATGCAGGGCTGCTTTTTGCTGAGTCTGCATCCATCTTGGAGCTGCATGCAGTCGGCCCATAAAAGTGGATGCAATCGCAGCAGCTGCACAGACAGAGTCACATATCAAAATTTAGCATGCGGGTAGGAGCAGGTACATGGTTCTGAAAACAGTGTCTGCATTCGAATCTGTGCACCCAATCTTACCCGCATGTTGCACAGATTCACTTCACAATTCTGCTAATGGAGCTCTTGATCTTTGCTCCCTTATGTCAGGAGATGAGATTCTTAGAAAGATTAGGATGATACTGTCATCCCCAAAATATGGTGCTCTGTATCTATGAGGATATTTATATATTTATTACAGGTACTTATATAGTGCCGTCAATTTACGCAGGTATATTGTACATTCGGATATGTGATTTATTGCATTTGAATATATTACATCGTGACTACCTCTCTCAGACATTTATACCTGAACATGAAAATGAACATGAAATGTTGGACCTCTAGATTACTGGAAAATCTGCCTGCCATTTTTTGAAATAGACAAAGACAGACAAGACCGTATCAACACACAGTCACATATACAGTGACAAAATCAATAAATGGATATAGATTCAATATCATACATATGTCTACCAAGTGCACATAATGATGAAGATTTATTTATGAAGGAAATTGATACATTTTCACTGATTTATAAGCCTTTTCTTATCACATGTTCCAAAGTCCAGAACACTGATTAGTTTTGTGATAGCTTTCATTTAAACAAGGGTAATATAACATCTCTGGAGAAATCTCTTGTTAATTGTGCCTGCTGGGGGATCAGATAAAGTTATGTAAATATTGCTCCTAATCTACTTGGTGTACTTAATCAATTTCTTCTTGTGCATTTATTTCTCACAGGATAGGAAAATTCCTTTGTAGCCTAGGTGTACTCCCAATCTATAACTGTGTGGGTGTGAACTATATAGTTTCCTCATATTATCCGAACACTTCAGATTTGATCTCATACTGTAAGTATTAAAACATGGTTGATCCAGATCAGAAAATTGGTTGTAACCTTTAATTAAAGTGATCCTATCATATTCTGTTAATAAATAGGCTTGCAGCTTCACAAAAGGCACCTTCTAGTGCCATGTATTACCATTTGTAGGACACCAACTTCATGAAAGTGCAAACATACATGCTCCCTCCCCATCCCACAATATAGTGTGCTTGGTGTCTGAAACAATTCTCACCAGGCACTATTTAAAGCTGAACTCCGGTCCGGGCACAAAAACCTGTTAAAGGATAAGTTCACTTTTTGGATAAAAATAATAAATGCATTTTTTTTTGCAGGTAAAAATTGTGCATTTATTATTTTTGTCTACAGGAGCCTGGAAAGCTTTGCACCAGCGATCAGTGGATCGCTGGTGCCATGCAGGTCTCCTGCAGACCTGTCAGAATATCTGCTTGCCGTACGGGATGTATGGTCAAGCAGATATACTGTCAGGGAGCTTCTATGAACTTACTTGAAAACTACAAGCCCACAGCCGCTAAGGCTACCAGGACTTGTAGGCACTCATTCACAGAGCACTGTGAATGAGTGATGCAGCCGTGGGGGCAGAAACTCAGCATGGTCATGCTGTTATCAAATCTGACAGATTTCATGGGGAAACTTCTCATCTGTCAGAGGGAGGGGGGGCAGTGGACGCAGCTGCGGCTATGGGAACATGCAGGGGCGGACTGACCATTTGGACACTTGGGCACTGCCTGAAAGCACGGGGTCAGTAAGGGGCCCAATGAGATGCCCCTGGTACCTTTCATAGGCTTTTTTGGGAGTGGTTTTGAGTGTGGGCGAGGACACAGTGGCCCCATGATCCCCTATTGTCCGGGGGCCCCATGAGTTGTCAGTCCGCCTCTGGGAACATGTTACACGTTCCCCCCTAAAAACAGGTGGAACATGTAACATGTTAGAAGGGGAACTTATCCTTTAACCAAATGTATTCCTCAACAGCCGCAAAGGATATAAATCCACTTTGTTGGCACCAAATGCCTTTACAAACCCAGATATGACTTGTAAAGGTTGCATTGACATCATCACTGTGCTCTACATAGCCTGTGCAAGGGGCAGAGGTGTGGGAGGGGCCACACAGCTCCACCCACTACAGAAAACTACAGAAGGGGGTGGATACAAGACCAGTCACTGTGTGTACAAAAAGAGAGCAGCAGTGAATGGTCTTTATTACAGGAAGTGCTGCAAAGAGGCAGTTTAACACTGGGTTCCTTCACAGATCCAAATACACAAAGCGCATCAAGTTTCAAGTTAGAATACACATGCCTCTTGTATTTAGGCAATATCTTCTGATCCCAGAATTCAGCTTTATAAAACACACACATTGTAGGTCAGTATATAGTCTGGACACTTTTGCAAAATTTAGAGAAAATGAATGAGTTGGAATTCACCTTCAGCGACAATGCAAAAATAGCTTGGATAAAGCAGGCTTTCCCATCTTGGAACATTGTATGAGAAACACTGAATAACGATCTTCAGCAGTGTATAAAATAATGATTTCCAACAATTATATTTAAACATAGTCACTACATACAACTAATGCTCCTCGGCATCCCTGACATATATTAGATTTTATTACTCACATTTTCTCTGAACTCATCCGATGAAGCAGCAGATGAAAGGAAGGCCAGTGCTTGATCGACATCTTTGTCGGTATCGGTAGATAGCTCTGTAAAGGATGTCAGAAATTCCTGGCACTGAGGTAAATTATATGGATCTAAATCTGTCATTTTATCCAGCACGCTTATATCCGTTGACGTCTGGAGCATCTGCAGAGCTAAAACTGGGATAAAAAAAAAAAAAAAAAAAAAAAAAAAATTTGTACAATTAACCAAAATTAATTCATCATCATTTATGGCCTCTCCATTATTTTTACCTATCTTTATGATATTCTAGATTCTGCAGTGGTTTCTATTTCATTGCATAGGCTTAGATTTACAACCAAAAATGATGCAAAAGGAGAAACAAAGGTCTTCTGCAATCAATCAGATTTAGTTTTACAATGAAGAAAGAAATCTGATTGATTTGTATGGGTGCATCTCTACTTTTTTCTTTTCTTTACTAGTTTTATATATTTTGGTCCCTATATACAGTAGTCAAACAAATTTGATTATGTTAGAAAACCCAATGTTTTTAATTTTGCCTGTTCACACCTGAGTTTAGGGTCACTTGGAGCTTCTTTTGAGTCACAAGCTTCAAAACGTTGTTTTTTGCCCCAATAAACTAATTGGATTGTTAAAAAAAAAAAAACTAAAAAAAGTCTGTAAAAACTACCAAAGATGCTGAGCTCAAGTGTGAATGCAACTTTACAAAAATACATTTTTCAAACATAATCTGTTTGATAGACTATATAAGGACGTTAGTGTAGACTCCCTTTTAAAGATGGGGAATCTAGCCATACATACAATGAGAATTGACAAATATTTTGGCACCTGATCGTCACACCTGTTCCATATCAGAGCATATACTCTCTGGAACCCGGCTGTACTCATATTAAAGCAGAACTGGACTCTCTCAAACAACTAAACCCAGGACCCTGCATTCACTAGATTTGGTCTCCCACAGTACACATGACATGGAAATGCAATTATTTTAGTAAATATAAACTGCTAAATACCTTTTCTCATCAGCAGTATATAGCAGTGTGAATTCTTGTGACTTCTATCAGTGTCTTGCGGAGCACTGGTTAATGTTGTAGGAGGAGTTTTCATTCTCCTCTGACTGCTCTAGGAGGCTGCATGACCTGATCCTCTGTCAGGATAGCACTGATTGGCCCTGTGCCGATCACATGCACCCCTGCCCCCCAAAAGAAAGAAAGTAAAAAAAACTCTCTAGCAATGCACACCAAACAGAGCATGTGCAGACTTGCCACTGCTGCTCTGTACTATGGCAGATGGATTGGGGACAGAAACAGAAGGGAAGGATTAGAGAAGACAGGATCAAACAGCCTTTTTACACAATGTGGATTAACCCCTTAGGTTCCACGGTGAGTATAACAAGCATATTTTACTGCACATATAGACTAATTTTATTGTTGTGGGTTTAGTAACTAAGTATTTTTAACCCTTATGCTGCTAGCATTAGGAAATAGATAGGAAGTTTAAAAAGTAAGCTTTAAATTTTTTTTTTTTTTTTTTACTTGTTAAGTTGCTTCCTGGTTTCTGACCTAGGCCAAAATTGTATCATACATCGCTGGAGTCTTTATGGACATTTTTTTTTCTTTCATCTGGACATCTAGAGGAGGGGCTTCCTTAGCTAAGCACACCCTCCTGCCTGCATCCCTGAATTAAGGGCAGATGGATTCCATGAACTAAATGCCACATCTACCAGTCATCTACCTTACTGAAGATGGCCATGACTAGAAATGCTAGGGGAGGGATTAAAGTGATTTCTCAACAAAATAAAGCATGGAGACATGGGTGGATGGGATTTGAATATTATAAAATGAAGTAAATAGCGGTTTCAGTTTGTGGTGCTCAGATACAGTTAATTTTGTACAAAACAAAAACATTATAAACCTGCGCTAATTGACCTATTTAGTATTTCAGCTGCTGAATTTAAGTACTCTATGGTGTCAATATATGTTAAAGATCTATATCATACAGCGCTAATTACTCCACAATTATGTGCCTTATTTAACAATATTTGCAAATACCCCAAAAATTTGTAAAGTGCAAAGTTCAATAATTGCAACATGCAGTATATACATCAACATAAATAATTATTCATATAGTGCCCTTTGATAATAGATCAGCTATGGGTAAGTTCCACTTTAATTATCATCTAATTCGTTACCAATACAAAAAATATGTGCCTAACCGTATGCATCCTTATGATATACTGCACTGGAAGCTTTTGTTCTAAAATCATACAGTCACAGAGAGAAGTTGCAGGTTTAGAAGAACAAATTGTTAGTCATATCAGACAAATCTGGTCTATGTTGCTTTTTGATATGTTGTTTTTTTATATCATTTGATACATTAATTTAAATTTACATTTTTTGTTTTGTAGGATGCCAAAATAAACTGATACAATAAAGAAATAGTGTGCATTCAGTGGGCAGTTTGAACAATTTCCATCTAAATATGGCAAAAAAAAGGACTACACAGGCCATGTGTATCTATACCTCTGATATTTAAAGGGAACTTTCAATGCAACATTTACTTGTGACTCCTTTACTTACAACACTGGGACCTTGTTTGCCTAGTATTGTTTACAGAATTTGGAGGAATAAGGTGTGACCATTCAGATACAATAGTTCATAGATGGACCATTGTATCTGTAAACTTTTCATGGTGATACCAGACTTCACCAACAGATTCAGTAGCAAATTAAAACGAAACTCCCAATTACAGTAATTCCCACTATGTGGCCCTAATGAGGAGTCACAAGCAAAAAAAATGTATTTACATTTTAATTAGAAATTCTCTTAAACAAAATAACTGTGCATCAAAAAAAGCATGCATTTTCTAGAAGCGTAAAACACGACTGGCATAGGAAATTAAACATTACAATAATATATATATATATATATATATATATATATATATATATATATATATATATATAAAACATAAAACATGTAGAGCATACCTTCCTTAGTAAGCTGAATTAAATAGCTTTTGAGGTCAGAAATATTATGGCTGCTGAAGAAATCATAATACTGGGAAAACCGTAATGATTTCTGTGGACAAATTAGCTGGCAACACGTTCTCTGCTTTGTCTAGATTTTGAGCAATCAGCTTCCTGAAAACTATAGAAATGTGAAAAGGTTTGCGAATGGTAAAAAATATACATATGCCAAAAGTATAGATATACAGTAACACAAAAATACTGATCAGTGAATTCAAGGGTAGCCAAAAAAAATGCAGTTTTTACAATAACAGGAATGGGTATGAAGCGGTGTCTTAAGCCTCGAACACATAAATGAGAATATTGGATGAATGACCGTCCTTTTTTTTTTGCATGCTATTTTCATATCAAAAATGAAGAGGTAACTAAAGTTCCGAAAATTCTCGTAATTCAGCTTCGGCAGTGATGTACTGTATTGTAATGTATTCCGAGCATGCGCGGTCTTGGTCACTCGATTTTTTTATGGACTAATACTATACTGATTAAACAAAAATCATTTGTTCTGTTATCATACAAGAAATTTTTTTCATGCTTGTCCCTTTGGATACTTTCACATGAACTTTCGTGATTGGTTCACGAAAGCAGTGTACCAAGGATCAGATTTATTGGGCTATCACTTCAAAAGCAGTATTTTTCATCTGATTTTCTCATCATGTGTACTAGGCATAAGGAGATCTTTATGCCCAAACAAATTAAATTTATGATGCCATCTGTGTTTGATGTGTAGTAAAAGTTCTCACATCCAATCTTCATGACTGTCGCATATTTAAACACAATATGCTGTCTTCAGTGTACACCAGGGCATTTTTCATTTAGAACGTAGCAGAACCAAGGCTTCTGTGATTACACGTGACACGTACATCATCAGAAGGGTAAGCGCTTACCCTTCTGATTATGTATGTGTGATACGAAACGCGCGTCAAGGAGTAGCCCGTGTTAGCCGTGACGTCAAGCCGCCGGATCAGGGAGGTCCGGTGCCCCCCCCTTTTTCACCAGCTGGTCAGTGTTATGCTGCATTCAATTTTATTATATCCTTTGTGCACAAGGATTGTTTTTCCTATTACAGTACCTGAGAAGTGTGTCTTTTCTATTTTTATCCTGAATAAATTAAATTTTTGATTCAACTAAAAATACTACACTGGGTACTCCTTTTTGCTCCATTACGAGCATTTAATTCCTCAGGATCATCAGGTAACCAGCCCAGGGCCTAGAAGAGAACTGTAATCGGCAGAACCCATCATGAACCAAACTCATCTAGGGGACCCCCAGATGTTCCATTACCTATCGCGGAGTTATCCAATCCAGGCCACGCTCCATCGACAACCAAAGGGACCTCTGGTGTACATGACAAAATTGCGCAGTTAAATTGTGCCTCCGGTGAGTGTGCAATTTACTTATTGTTCCTGCACTGCACCGGATCACAGGTTCTACTGGGATTCTAGCAAGTCACCATTTTTCAAGTATATTGTGGTTTACCATTCATAGTTATTCTGGACTATTATTTGCACCGTGTGTTATACTACTGTATTACAATATCAGTGAAGCTATTTGACATAGCTTCACCATTGCTACAATTTCCTAAGGACATATTGTGTTGCTTTAATATTTGCTGCATATTTGTTATTTTGCATATTACCATTGGTATACTCTCATATTTTATTTTTTAGTGCTGCACTACTTATATTTATATTCTATTGAAGGTTTATGGTTTCCCTTTTTAGTGCATCAACTGCTGTCGTTCATTAGCGCTCACTGAACTACACACAACTATACCCCAGTTTATAGTTTTAAGTGACAGATCTGTCATGTTTTTAACAACTGGTGGATTGCTATGTGAAGGTTTTTGATATTGTGAATATTCTAGGATTGTTTTTTATATGAATTAATATGTTTTGAGAGCTTATCAGTTCAGTTCTTTTTCATTACTGGTATAGAATAGTCCCATTTTTAGAGGATGCACCACACATGAAGCCAGCAAAAAAAAAGTACATATATAGGAGGACATTTTTTCGATGTGCAAGAGGCTGTAAAATCAACTAGGAGATGTGATGTGTTTTCTTTACTGTTTAAATAACTTATAGATTACTTCATAACCAGATAATGATTGCTCCCAAACGTACCTTTTTCAGAAAGTCCTGGGCTCTCTACATTCACTGTTTGGCTGAATGTTTCATGCAGTTGTTTCATCATTTTTTCAGCAGTGGTGTGATACATTGTGTGAGGTGCAGAGCATTTCATCCAAAAAGATAACAGTGATGGCATATCATGAAATCCAGAGATAACTTAGGGAGGGGAAAAAAGAAAAGTGGCATTAAACAAACAATTTTATATAGAGCATATATCCTATAACAGCATATATTCTGTTTCAATATAATTTATTGAAAGCATTTTGTTACAGGCATGAAAGGTAAGTAATACCACAAAAGTCTAGAGCAGCAATGGGCAAACTACGGCCCGCGGGCCGTATACGGCCCGGCGGACCTTTTAATCCGGCCCGCGGAGCTAGGCTCCCGCAAGGCCAGTGGTCGGCAAGCCGCGGCTCTTTACAAATTTAGATGCGGCTCTCCTGTGTGCCGGGCGCCCGCTCCCCTCCCTCCTCTCCCCTCCCTCCTCTCCTCCTCTCCCCCTCCCCTCCTCTCCTCTCGGATTGCCCCCCCCCTCTCGGATGGCCCCCCCTCCCTCCTCTCGGACGTCAGGACTCTGCAGCTGTCAGGATGTAGGCGGGGCAGCGTGACGAACTCCTCTCACAGTCCTCCCTGAAGACCAGAACGGCGCGGGAATACGAGAGGAACGCGCGGACCAAAGGTAAGTGAATTGACACAGGGGGGGGACTTACTATATGGGGGATGAATTACTATATGGGGGACTTACTATATGGGGAATGAATTACTATATGGGGGACTTACTATATGGGGAATGAATTACTATATGGAGGACTTACTATATGGGGAATTAATTACTATATGGAGGACTTACTATATGGGGAATGAATTACTATATGGGGGACTTACTATATGGGGAATGAATTACTATATGGGGGACTTACTATATGGGGGATGAATTACTATATGGATGAATTACTATATGGGGGACTTACTATATGGGGAATTAATTACTATATGGAGGACTTACTATATGGGGAATGAATTACTATATGGGGGACTTACTATATGGGGAATGAATTACTATATGGGGGACTTACTATATGGGGAATGAATTACTATATGGGGGACTTACTATATGGGGAATGAATTACTATATGGGGGACTTACTATATGGGGAATGAATTACTATATGGAGGACTTACTATATGGGGAATGAATTACTATATGGAGGACTTACTATATGGGGAATGAATTACTATATGGAGGACTTACTATATGGGGAATGAATTACTATATGGGGGACTTACTATATGGGGAATGAATTACTATATGGAGGACTTACTATATGGGGAATGAATTACTATATGGGGGACTTACTATATGGGGGATGAATTACTATATGGGGGACTTACTATATGGGGGATGAATTACTATGTGGGGGATGAATTACTATGTGGGGGATGAATTACTATATGGGGGATGAATTACTATGGGGGGACGAATTACTATATGGGGGACGAATTACTATATGGGGGACGAATTACTATGGGGGATGAATTACTATATGGGGGATGAATTACTATGGGGGATGAATTACTATGGGGGATGAATTACTATATGGGGGATTAATTACTATATGGGGGATTAATTACTATGGGGGATTAATTACTATGCTTACTATGGGGGAATATTACTATACTTACTATGGATGACACATACACATCATTCATCTACTCTTGGTCCGGCCCCCGGGTCCAATATATGAACCCATTGCGGCCCTCAAGTCAAAAAGTTTGCCCACCCCTGGTCTAGAGCCTACACAGACATCAAAGTTCAAACCCAAAGTGCAAATCCACTACGTAGGTGGTATAAAACAGCAACATCGAAACTGTAACAACATCATGCTTTGGGAATAACATACCAACAGTCAAAGCACCAGTAGGAATCAGCAGCAACTGTACGTTTGTGAGCTAATTAAAGATGAATCAATGGGGGAGGAGCCACCCTTGAGGAAGCCCCGCCCGTCCTGATCCCTCCTCACTACCTGTGCTTGACAGCAGCAGGAGCCAATGTGGTGGCACAGAGCTGGGGGAGCCACTGCTCTCGTGCACAATGTTGGATCGGGATCAAGCTCAGGTAAGTATTGGGGGGCTGGGGGGCAACTGCACACTAAAGGTTTTTTACTATCCTGTGGATTTTATTTAAAGACTATTACTCCCTTCACAGATAAACAATTGAACCTCTCCAGCTGTCGTAGTGCCTTCCACCAGCTTGTCCATCCTGAAGTGACATACAAGACAAATGGAAAAATTCACAGCAGTCGGCGGTGGAGCAAGCATTTGACTGGCAAATGCTTGCAGAAGCTGCGGAGCAGAGAAACTATGACTTCTACTAATGCAGGCTGCCAGACAGGTTAATGAACGCTACTTTTACAGGTGAAAATCAGCAATTAACTCAAGTAAATTGGAGTGGGTCTGCCCTTTGCTAGAAACAACCCTGGGAAAAGATCAGTAGAACAGGTGTATACACTAGTTAGATATTCATTACGGTTTTACATTAAGATTACACCCTTTTTAAACAAGCAAGCACAAAACGAACAGATTGATTATAAATGTTTGGAACGAAAAGCCTCCAAGGATTATCAACGAACTGTGCATATGTGAAATTTGGAAAGTGGGTTTTGAACAAAACCTCATTTTTCTAAGTCTGAGAAGCCATAACAAATAAAAACCACATAAATTGATAAATGAAATTCTGTATGTAAAGGTGGAATGGTGTACACCAGGGCTGTCAAACTGGCAGCCCTCCAGCTGTTGCGAAACTACAAGTCCCATCATGCCTCTACCTTTGGCAGTCATGCTTGTAACTGTCAATCTTGCAATGCCTCATGGGACTTGTAGTTTGGCAACAGCTGGAGGGTCGCCAGTTTGACACCCTAGAAACCAGCTATCTAAATGTCCCAGACAGACAGACAGACAAGCTGGCACTAAGATTACTGTTCTGCTTGGTTACAGTTTTAGTTGAGCGCTGTTGCAAGCTTTCAAACCATTTCCCCCTTTATTTACAATTATTTCCCATTTCTTTAGAAAAAGGTGGCCCTGGGTATGAGAGTCTAACAGCATCTAATATTATGATTATAACCACCTGCATTTTCCATTTTAGCTACAAATAAAAATGTACATTTTTTTTTACAACTTTACCCCATCTATGAGAACCTTTACACATTATGCACATTTTCCTTGTATTTAATACATCCATCCGGCTCTACAAGTTTGTTCACCTTGGTTCTGTCATAATCAGGATCTGTCAACTTGAGATTCTATAGTACTGTCCCTGCCACTGTCCAAGTCCCAAGCTCCTGGTGCTCAACCTGCTGCTGTTTGCCATTACTGTGTGGCCCTTTTGGTACTTGCAGACAATGTTGTCCTTACCGGAGAACTTACTTAGATCAGTCAAGTAAAAATTGTATTTTAGACTGGCTGCTGGTTTTGAAATGGTTTGGATTTTTGTATTGGTCTGTTAAATATACCACTGAAAGTGTTTTGTTAAACTTGTTTGATACGTTCAAATAATATCTGATAGAAATCTTGTGAATTGATAACCTCCTATATACTCTGCCTGTGCTGCTCTGTTATCAGTCCGCATTGATCTGAGCTATTTCTGTGAACTACAGAACACCTACCCTAAATGTCAGTGCTTTGCAACCTTTTTACAGTCACGGCACACTTTGAAAAGTATTTTCAGCCTCAAGGTACCTTAGTCTAAAGGTGGCCATAGATTTCCAATTTTCTTGCCGAATTATCGGCCGATAAAAAAAAAAATCGTCCGATATTCGTACCGTTAGTGGGGAAAAATGTTGGCCGTTTTTCTTAATTTTAAGAGATTTTGAAAATCGTCCAAGCTGGAAAATCCTGGGATGATTTGTTAGATCGGCCAATTTTCACGGTAATTTATGGTCAAATCGGCCATTCTTCTGGCAGATTTGACAATAAATTGACTATGAAGAAAAAGAAGAAATAGAAGAAATAGATTTTACAGGATAAGAAGAAATAGAATATCAAGAAGAAGAATAGAAGAAAAGAGGAGAAGATGAAATAGATTTTGCAGAAGATGGAGAAGAAAAAAAGTTGCAACATTGTATCTATTTGTATGCACTTCAGATACAGATGTTTCTATTCAAGTACAAATAGATACAATGTTGTTTCTCTTCTTCTTCTTCTGCATAATCTATTTCTTCTGTCAAATAGAATAGTGGGTCTCTATGCAAGGACAACGCTATTATATTAATTGACAGCTGTAGACGGGACTAAAACCCAACGACTTTTTTTTTTTTAAATTAGTGGCAACGTCGGCCGTCTGAACGACCAATTTATGACTTTTTTAAAAAAAAAAAAAAACCAGACGATTTTCCCCATGTCTATGGCCTGCTTAAGTCTTGGTACACATTACTGCGTGTCAGAGAATGAGTGAAAAATTGTGTGCGTTCCTGACACACAAAGAAACACACTGTTCTTTAGCAGACGCACAGATGTCATTGATTCTTAGCGGTACCCCCCACACATTGTCAAAACGCAATAGGTTTTTAGTGTGGTACAATTTAAAAAAAAGGATTGGGAACTTCTGTCGGTAGTGCAACCAAATTTAATTAATGGGCTGCCTATATTACAACACACAGCTGCACTTATGTGAACCAAGGGCTCATTCACATGTGAGGTTGGGAAATAGTAAAACCATGCAGTTGAGCCTCATTTTTACCAACCCCTCCCTCTTTAGCTGCAGAGGCAGCAAAAAGGGTTGTTCACATGCTGTGGTTGTGGCAAGAAGTAGATCTCCGTGTGCATTGCATCCGGTTGCAGAATGGTGATGCTGCATTTAGAGGGTTATATCCGGCAGTAAGGAGGCAACATAGTGCCTCTTTGCTGTTTGTCAAATGCCACTGACAAGCAATCTGACATGGATTGCTTTTCAGAGTCCTTGCCGCGATTATGAACAAGTCCTAAAAAAGCTGTTCTGTTCATACATGGTTAGGGTTCAAGATTAAAATTAACGTACATACATACATACATACGTAGACACACTTGCATATAAACACATACATACATACACAGCCTTTTTAAAAACTGCAGTGCTGTACCTGCACTCATACTGCCAGGTACTGGAATGTAGAGGGAGGCGGAGAGGTCAGGACTGAGGAAGATGTCTCTTCCCTTCCTCTGCTCTCACTGTTCTGATCGAGCTCCTGCTGTGCGGATGTACAGTTCATTAGAGGAGCAGGAGCTTGATCTAATTTGAATGTCTTCATCAACCAGGATGTTGCAGGACCCCGATTGAGAAAGGCTACTCTATTTTATGAAGATTAGGAGAGGGGAGGTATTCGGTAGTCCCAACACACTTCCCGTCCTAGGGTGATAATGCGGTTACATTATAGATACAGAACAGTGAGGGAGCATTGTCAACCCAGTGTTACTGGTAGGATGACCACAGTAAAAAAAAAAAAAAAAAAAAAAATGCAGCCACCACATCACTGGTATTTTGCAATATATGACAACTTTTGTTGTTGGGTTGCGAGGACCCTGAAAATGTATTCCACTTAATTCATCACACTGTTTAATGTACGTAACTTGGAGATGTCTGATGTAAGAGCAGCAACAAAAATGGCTTTGGTAGGCTGACAAGGTAGACTTTCAGTCAGCAGAGAATTATCCTGCCACCAAAGAGACGCATTACAGTATAATGTAATACTATATAATATTTAAGTTAATTATGTTTTAAATACTATGAAAAGTAACTCCCCCACCATGATCATTTTCAATCGCTTGACTCCTACATCAAAAGCTCTTTTTAGGTTGGCTGCTTAAAAGTGAACTCCTTAGTAGCAGTTGCTGTGTGTAACACCTTAGTCAGCTTTACATTGTTTGCTATAAGAGGTCACTGCATGAGAAGCCACCTCCTTACATTACTATTAGTAATGTCATTAAACTGAGAAATGACATAAACAAGTTCTCCTGGAACAGAGGTCATTTCAATTTATAGCACTTTGGCTTTATGAGCTTCTTTCCAGACATGCAATAAAATAGTCTGCTCTGTGCAGCTACTGAAAACAGTCATTGTCTCTGCTCAGTGTCCATCAATCACGACCTTGGATGACCTGTCAGCCATAACGTACCTTCTACAACTGAATTTGTGTTGCCCATATTCTCTCTGCTGATGTCGGAAAGTCTCTTGATGACTTGGCATTGCTTGCTTAATTTCTTTTTCAGGTCTCTTAGAACAAATAGAACTTGACTTGATACAATTATTTGCTAGAACAAAAACACAGCCACAGAAACTGGGTCAGTATATTAGAAATGCACTGCATCTTCAACAAAGCAATTCCAGGCAACAAGTGAAATCAATTAATGCTATCCAGGAAACATTGCTATTGTGTTAAAGTCACAAAAGATGAGTTGAGTGTAATCGCCCACAGCAAGTTCCCAGATAGCTCCTCATCTGCGGGGTCTGCTCCCTTAAGCGTGTGCTGTGCTACTTCCTCCCTTGATGTATCAGCAATCAGATTAAAATCTGACCTGTTAGCGGTCTTGGTTGTTGAAAGAAACTTTGTATATGGTGATAAATGAGACAATCAGTACAGAAGACAGCAAGAAGCATATAGTTTGTGTCTTTGGGAATACCTTTCTGAATTGCCAGCAAGGAACAAAAAGGGGTTCATAGATAACCAGACAAACCAAAAGGAATAAAAGTAGTCTACAGTGGCAATGTCTGGATGAAAATCTAAAGCAGGTCTCATTTTCACGTATGACCGGAGCAGAGTTTCTTAACCAGGGTTCTATGGACCCTTGGTTTCCTTCCAAATGTTGCTAGGAGTTTCTTGAGCAATTTTTGCCTCTCAGATAAGTTCGCACTGACACTATTGATCTGGGCAGCACAGTGGCTCAATGGCTAGCACTTCCTCCTGGAGTTTGCATGTTCTCCCTGTGCCTGCGTGGGTTTCCTCCGGGTACTCCGGTTTCCTCCTACGCTCCAAAGAAATGCTGGTAGGTTAATTGGTTCCTGTCTAAATTGGCCCTAGTATGTGTATGTATGAATGTAAGTTAGGGACCTTAGATTGTACACCCCTTGAGGGTTAGGGACTGATGTAAATGTACAATATATATGTAAAGCGCTGCATAAATTGATGGCGCTATACAAGTACCTGAAATAATAATTGTTTGCGATCTATAAGGGGGTAATTCTTCCCAATGACCACAAATGTAAGGAGCATTCTGCCCACTGACCATCACGCTAATGTATCACAAGTTGTAGATACATTAACTTTTAACAATGGTTCCCCGAGACCGGAAAGTAATTTTATTGGTTCCTCTGTGTTGAAATAAGCTGGACTAGAGTTTATCTTCTCCTAAGATTAAGAAGCAATCATAGGGAATTTCCACTTGAGTGCTAGATGTGTCCATTTGTCAGACATGGCTTTTGCACACTACAAACATCTTTATTGTTTTGGAGGGCCCAACCCCAGAGCCAAAGTTAGGTGATCTGATATTTCCAGAAGCACTGTACATTGACATCTTATCAACATTCATCTTCACCATAAACAATGAACTGTTGCAGTACATATATCTCAAACGTGCTTGAAGTGGCTGCAGGCAGTGCTTTATTTGTGTAAATCAGCACAATGCTACCCTTATACAGCATAGGTTATCTCCTACAACTTCTGCTCAGTCATGTTTCTGAGATTTGAACTTAGAATTTATGAATGTTGTTCTGTCTTGTAAAAAAAAAAAAAAAAAAAAAAAAACCATGACGGGTTGCATCATACAACCTTCCTTTTAAATTGTACTTCTTTACTTTATTTGAATTAAAAGCTTATTAAAACTCACTTTCTATGGACCTATTCACACAATTACTAGAGCTTTAATATGTTTTTTAAACTGCTGCATCAGTTCTGTATTCTCCCAGAGAAGGACTAGGTAATTGAAACGATACTAACCTCTATTCAAGTACATATTGCGAATGTTAAAAAGTACCTTCTATTGCTTGCAGCCTTCAAAAACCTCTACATTCCTATTTCTCTCTGCTGTAATCTGACTTCCTCTTGTAAGGTGGCTATGTTCTCTATGGTCCCACTGTATGCAAGGCTAGGTTGTGTTTCACCCATTTCTGCATTGTGTTTTGCGCTGCGTTTAGCGTTTTTGCACCTGTATTTGACGATTTTTTGTTGCGTTCTGTTTTTTAATTTTTCTTGTTGCTAGGCAGATTTAAAAAAACACACAAAAAAAAAAAAAAAAAAAAAAAAAAGCAGCAAAAACACTCTACATGCTTTTCTGCAGCATTTCCATTGAAGTCTATAGAACCAAAACCGCAACTTTTTGCATTCAAATAAAGTACGTGACCCTTTTCAAAAAAGGCACCGGATGAAAACGTGGCAATGTGAACCTGTCCCATAGGAAATCATGCTAAATGGACTGTACTGCGTTTCTGCAAAACGCTGCAGAAAACACCCTTAGGTGTGAACCTAGAGTCAGAGCATAGCCACCTTCTCTTGTTCACTCCCAAGATGGACTGTAAGATGTAAGGTGTATACATAGATCAGTGTATGTGACTAACTAATGTGCAATGCTTCTGCCAAACAAATGAAAGAGAAGAGGAAAAGGAGAGTTCTTGGAGCTCTCGGAGGATGTTACAAGCAGACAAACCACCACAGTAAGCAACAATTCGAAGAATAGATTACAGAGCCATTAAGTAGTGAGTCTGTATGAATTATTTTTAAAGATATTGTTTAGTGTCATTTTTAGGAAGAAAGTTATTTCCAGGACATCAGTACAAATGATTCTGCTTTTTAAGCAACTAATTGATACCATTGTTCTGAAGTACAGTTTTCAGCTTTTAGTTGTGGGTGAGGGAAATTGCTATAGCTGACTGAATAAATCATTTCCATCATATTTAATTTACAGAGACCCAGGGGAATATTTATATAGAAAAGTAAGAGAAACACAGATATGTTGCCAGTGCTGACCAATCATATTTCAGTTTTTATGTTCTGGAAAATTAAAGCTAACATTTGGTTGGTCAGCACGGGCAATAGCTCACCACTTTCACTTTTTTCTTATTTAAAAAAAAAAAACACAACAATGCTCTGGAGAGCATATTGTGTTGGTGATGATTTATATTGTGATACAGAATGTACCACTTCCATATGTTGGGAGCTCCTGCAGAGAGACGCAGCAGCCATCATGGCCCTAACAGTACTTTTGCTCAGAGCAAATTCAAATCAAAACAGAATACAATAGTCACAAGTTCACCCCCTGGCCTATTCAGTCCAATAGGGAAACTAGAGTCAGGTTTGTGGCTCAGCTATACTACTTAAAGTGGAACTTCAACCTAAAGGGGAAGTTCAGTTTTGCCCTCCTCCCCACATCCTCTTCTTTTGGAATTCTTTTTGGGGACACGGGTACCTGTTTTTTGACAGGTATCCACTACCTCTTCCGGTCAAATTGCCTAGGTGATTCCAACGGAACTTCTCACCCCCCCACCCCTATGCCCGCAACATTCTGGGACACATCATAGGCTCCAGAAGGCTGTGGGGCCATTCACAAAGTGCAGCTCGCACTTTCGCAGTGGGAGGCCGGCTGTAAAGTTGCATGCTGGTCCCAGGGACTGGTGAAGAACTGGCCAGGGTGAGACTGTACTGCTGGATTCCTGGACAGGCAAGTGTCCTTATATTAAAAGTCAGCAGCTACAGTATTTGTAGCTGCTGACCTTTAATTTGTTTTTATTCAAAACAAGGTGAAGAAGCTCTTTAATTCAGACTACCATCTATGTGTCAAAGGCTTAATCATTGGCACATTTCCTTCATTGCCTGCCCTCTAGTATTTATGAAAGCAAGCCAGAGTGTGCTAAAACACCATAAACCATCTAAAATTAAAATGTAATAGTTTAAGGAGTTAGCCATTTAATGTGCTCCTTCATATAATATAAAAGAGGCAAAAAAGTAGCCGGTTATAAAAATAAATCATTAAGCAGACTCTTCTGACCTTAATGAGCTCAGAGCAGTATTGTAGATGCCTGACCAACGTGATGTCCAAGCTTTCATTTCCTGTGGTAAGGGGCAGGGGACTGCTTGCAACGCTGGTGCCTACTCCAGTATCCTCAGTTAATGCCTCGCTCAGGTGCCCTCGGGCTTCTGGATGGTCAACTCTATAGCTGCAAGACATTGGGCATCAGCTGTGATTAGAACATATGCAGAATGAAAATACAGCGCATTGACTGTAGAAAATCTATCAAAAACCAGAAACAAATTTTTTATTCTCTGAAAAACTAAAAAAAAAACAAACCATACAAAATGTTTCTATCTATACAAAACCAGGAGCTGCTGAAAACAAGCTTGTTCTGGGATGCATTCACAGATCGCCATTTTGATGGCTCCCTGTACATGCTGGATAAATGAACTGCAGCATTTTCCAATATTTTCTCTTTTTCCCCTTCAGTTCTCCAACACAGATTTTTCTTTTAGATCAAAGGCTCAGGCAAGAATATCAAGGGTTAGGAAGCAAACAAAATCACAGTGTGAAAGAAAACCTCAGATAATCTGTAAGTCACGTTTACATGGTAAATACTGTCATGGATTGGAGGAGTGTAAATATTTATTTGTAATATGGCAATTGTGAACCCAATAGATTCTGCTTGTACAATACAAAGACCTAATTTGCATTGGTTATGGCAATTATAGTGCAAAATAATGACCATATAAATGTTTTTATTATGTATGAAGAGGTTTGTATAGAAATGATCTTGCATGTTTTTATAAGAAGTTGAAGATTAAAGGATATTCTCCATCAGGACCTGGATCTGAACCTGGAACCTCTTCTGTGTCTGACATTATTTCTTCTTGCTTAGCTACCCAAGATGCTGGATAGCGCTTTGTCTGATCTCTTAAAGTGATTCTAAAGGCTTAATTTTTATTTGTTTTTTAAACAACAAGCATGTCTATACTTACCTGCTGTGTGCAGTGGTTTTGCACAGAGCAGCCTGGATCCTCCTCTTCTTGGGTCCCCCACAGGCTCTCCTCTTCCCTTCCTCCTGTCAGGTGCCCACACAGCAAGCAGCTTGCTATGGGGGCACCCGCTGTTCCGTGCGTCTATTCACACAAGGAGCAGTGACTTGGCCCCGTCCCCTCACTCTTTTCATTGGCGGTAATTGAAAGCAGCGGGAGCCAATGGCTCCCATTTCTATCTCAGCCAATGAGGAGAGGGAGTGCCGGGATAGCAGAGACTCCAGTGCACATCGCTGGATGGATTGAGAGGGGGCTTAGGTGAGAATTAGAAGGTTTTTTACCTTTCATGCATACAATGCATGAAGGTAAAAAACCTGAGCCTTTAGAACCACTTTAAGACAACCTTGTCTTTTGCCTTGTTTCTCTTGAACCCTTTGCTCCTTCCATGAACTTTCTATTAAAGCCATGCCATTACACTTCTTGTTTGTCAGATTATTGTGTTCTCTCCAGTCAATATGTCGCGCTTGCCACTCCTGCTGCCATTCTCATTTTTGCTACCACTCATTACCAACCTTTGACTTGTTCCTATACAATGCTTCTGCTTGATCCCAACCTGCAACCACTTGTTACCAAACTTTGGCTTGTTTACTGACTACACCTCTGCTTGATCCCTAACAGCTTTATCATCTGCTACTAGACCCTGGGTTGCTTTTCTCCTAGAGAGGTGATCCTGAGGACCACGACCTAATACTCTCTTGCAGCAAAAGCTATCTCCACCATCAGTAGGTTTGGTGAACACTATTTCGTACCTAGACCCCACACATCTGATGAGCCTGCGTCATCTGCCGCAGTGACCCGCTTGTTTACCCATCCGGCCCCTCTCTACTGCTATAGCTACTGGTCTCTGAGCCTGACTCCTGACTATGGGAGGACTGAACTGGAAAGGATATTGGGAGGAAAGTGTAATAACTACACTTACCAACATTCTGTTCTTTCTGAGATATGGCTGTAAAAAAAAAAAAACCTGACCTGGGGTGCAGTAGCACCGTTAAGGTAATGTGATAAAGATTTGTGCTCTTTTCACTTCCCATCCGTGCTATTTCATGACTAGAATTAGCCACTGCCAATGGTGACTTCACAGATTTCTATTGCATCGATTGATTAAAATCATAAAATAACAACCCAAAAAAAGTACAAAATCAGTAAGTTGATTGACCTCCGCAGTACCTACTAATATGTGGCTATTCAACTATGGTGGGTAACTAACTTTATATATTCTGATGAGTACTCAGCCTTGTTCAACTCAGCTCCCTCTAGTACTGACGGTTGAGGACCTGGGAAGAGCAAAAAATTTGGAGAGGTGAATCCCCCCCCCCCCCCCCCCCTTTTTATCCTTTTCATGGTTATACTGCTTTATCAGGCCTCTGTACTACAATATTTTGTTAAATAGAGAACTAAAAGAAAAATGAAAACTGGTGGGCAGAAAATGGTGTGAATGGCTTATGTAAAATGATGCAGAATTGTTTAGCTCCATATCATTAAAGCAGAACTCCAGTAAAAAAAAAAATAAATGTTTTACAGCCCCACTGCATGGATCAGCTGCTCATTTTTTCTAGGGGTGAGGACTAAGCTCACCTGACCCACAGATAATACGGAAAACCGCGCTCCCCCATGATTCAGCAGTGGACTGTTCCTGTCAGTGGAGCGCACCTTGAATTTGCTGACATCAGGAATAGTCCATGTACAAGACTACTGACCGCGGGGGGGGGCAGGAACCAAATGGACTGGTCTTGTGTGGGGAGGATAGGTGGACCAGGTGAGTATATCTTCAGTGTCCACTCCCCTAGAGTAAATTGAACATTTGGCCTGTACAGTGCCAGCACAGCCCCACTGCATGGGATAAAAAAAATTGTTACCATATTTCTGCTTTACTGTTATTTAGAAAAAGAAAAAGGAAAAGGAAAAGAAAAAGGAAAAGAAAAAAGGAAAAGGAAAAGGAAAAAGGGAAAAGGAAAAAGGAAAAGGAAAAAGGAAAAGAAAAAGGAAAAGAAAAAGGAAAAGGAAAAGAAAAAGGAAAAGAAAAAGGAAAAAGGAAAAGGAAAAAGGAAAAGGAAAAGAAAAAGAAAAGAAAAAGGAAAAGAAAAAGGAAAAGAAAAAGGAAAAGAAGGAGGAGGAGGAGGAGAAGAAGAGACCAGCAGATTTATAAACCATAAATGGTTTCTCTCCTCTAGCTGTAAACAAAATTAAAAAAGGGACTTTTTAATTAATACAAATATTTTAAAAACAACATGCATAGCAATTATATATTATTTCTATTTTAAAAAAACTGTTTTTAGCACGGTTTTCTAAAATTTCAGTGACATTTTTTTTAAAGGTCAATATTCAAACGATCTGTTTATATCCTGCAGCATGGGGTCAGATATTGCACTTGTGTCCAGATCAATCAGTTCGTTTGTATAGCCATCTTGTAATGAGGTCTTATGTACTTAAGGGGTTGAGTTATATACAACAGGCAAACATCGGTCAGTAAAATACCACCAGTTATATATGCTTTTAGTCATATTTGAATAGTGCAATGTGAAGCCGTGAGAAAATTACACATTGTGTTTTCCCTCCAAAGCTTACGCATTATGTAGTAGTTGTAAAACATGCTAAAGGAACTGGCATGTAGGAAATCCCCGCCAATCTATAGATTTTGTGCAGCTGTTACATTCGATTTTTCCTCAAACATACAGGACTTTTCTGAGAGCATCTTATACTGTATATAAAATCAAAAAGGCCCTTTAACTAAACTACTATATATACAGTTTATAGGAAAAAAACTTATGAATGTGTGACTTGTTGCCAAGAAGGGAAGCAGTTTGTGAATGTGTTTAAAAAGGATAACTAAAACTGTAAGCCAAGGAAACCAAAAATAAATTAAAAAAGTGTCTACTTACGTACACTTCCAGTGCAACTTTGAGAGCATTTATAATCAAGCCCACCTAGAAGTAATATTTCTTCATTTTGATATATGCTGGACAGCTAAACCAATTATAATAGGCTACCACATTGCCTGCTGGATTTTCAATTTATGTTATATTGGAACAATGCTACGTAAGGTTTCAAAACACAGTAAAGGAAGTGTAAAGATTGAAATTTCCTAGATGGAAAGAAGTCCTTAAAGGCAAGTTCACCTTTGGGAACATGTTCCACCTGTTTTTAGGGTGGAACATGTAACATGTTTCCATAACCGCAGCAACTACCCCCCCCCCCCCTCTGACAGATAGTACGGGGAGACTTCTCCCTGTACTGTCAAATTTCAAAACCGTGCCCCTCCCACTTCACTGCATGGGCTATGTAGAGCAAAGTGATGATGTCAATGCTACCTTTACAGGTCATATCTGGGTTTGTAAAGGCATTTGGTGCCAACAAAGTGGATTTATATCCTTTGTGGCTGTTGAGGAATACATTTATTTCAAGGATAAGCTCCCCCTTCTAACATGTTCCCATGTTACAAGTAACATGTGCCCATAGCCGCAGCCGTGCCTGCTGCCCCCCCTCCCTCTGACTGATAGTACGGGGAGAAGTTTCCCCATACTGTCAGATTAGATAACAGCGCAGTAATGCTGGGCGCTGCACACATGGCTGCGTCACTCATTCACAGAGTTCTGTGAATAAGTGCCTACAAGTCCTGGGAGCCTTAGTGGCTGTCTGCTTGTAGTTTTCAATGAACTACCAAGGTGCTGTGGAGCTCTGTGGTAGTTAATTGAAGCCGTCAGAATATCTGCTAGCCATACAGGATGTAGGGTCAAGCAGATATACTGACAGGACTGCAGGAGGCCTGCATGGCATCAGTGATCTACTGTCCTTTGGACAAAAATAATAAATGCACATTACCTGCAAAAAATGTGCATTTGTTATTTTTCTTTGCAAAAGGTGAACTTCTTTAACCACTTCTACCTGACAGCTTCACCCCCCCCTCCAGTTCAGACCAATTTTCAGCTTTCAGCGCTGCCACACTTTGAGTACAGCGTTGCATGACTAAGTAATTGGCATTCAGATTACATTTAGATCATTTTTTTTTTTTTTTTAAGACCGATAGAGCTTTCATCTGGTGGTATTTGATCACCAGTGTTTTTTATTTTTTTTTGTTATATAAACAAAAAAATACCAGTTCAAAAAAGTTAGAAAAAACCCCCCACATTTTTCTGTGTTATAAAATTTGCAAATAATTTCTCTTTCTTCATAAATTTAGGCCAACATGTATTCTGCTACATTTCTTTGGTAAAAATACTCAAAACCGTGTGTATTATTTACACTGTGTGAGGTATACAAAATATTTGAAAATTGTTCAATACTGATGTGTGACTACCTATCTTATTCCTTGAGGTCCTAAAATGTCAGGACAGTACAAATACCCCCAAACGATCCCTTTTTGGAAAGTAGGCAGTCCAACGTATTAGTAAGAGGCATACTGACATTTTGAAGTTGTAATCTTTTGGAAAATTAAATACATTATATATATATATATATATATATATATATATATATATATATATATATATATATATATATATATATATATATATATATATTTTAACATATCGCGCCCAAAAATTTACTTTTTTTTAAAAATTTTGTAAACTTTTATACCCCTTTTTAAAAACTTTTTTTTTTTACATTCTGTGCCCAGAGCTGTACAGTGTCATTACAGAGACACTGTACTTCTCTAGGGAGGTGATCAGGATTTATTTTTTACATTATAATTGCTTATTACAGTGATGCTCACTGTCCTAAGCAATCATTTTTTTGTTAATGGCATCCATCCATGTGCCATTGTGTACAATTGTGATAGCTGTGACTGACCAGAGCTATCACATGGTACAGGTGCGCGGTGATTGTCCCTCTGTGTACTATTGTGGTCACATTGATCACATGGTACAGAATGAATGCAATTTTATACAGCTGACATGTGATTACTGTGATTGGATACAGTGATCACATGGCACCAGGGCCGGCCCAGTAAAACAATCTGTCTTCTGCTGTGTCCGAGACAGCAGGTAACAGATCGCGCCACTGTACTTCTCCTTTGGATCTGCACTTCTGTGACCCATTTTGAAACAACAGCAGACTAAAGTCAGTCCAATCCAGTCTGGGGAAAGATCTTGACTTTAAAGTTGGGATCCACCAATATGTCTGGACGGGAACTTGGCTCAGTCTCTGAGCGAGCCAGCCGCTCCCTCCCCCTCCACAGCCCAGTGCTCCAGTGAGCACGGAGGAGGGTGTTAGAGCAGACAGTGGTGACAGTCACTGGTCTCTACTTTGAGCAGCAGGGAGAACTGAGCAATCAGCATTGTCTGATCACTCACTTCTCAGCCTAATATCTGGTGAAGGACTGATGCTGTATCCACCTAGCCACTTGCCTTCCAGAGGATTTACCCCCCTTCCTGACCAGGTAATTTTTTGCAATACAGCGCTGCATTAATTTAACCGACAATTGCATGGTCATGCAACTCCGTACATAAATGAAATTTGTGTAATTTTTTCCCCACAAATAGAGCTTTCTTGTGGTGGTATTTGATCACCTCTGTTTTTTTTATTTTTTGCGCTACAGAAAACAGAAAAAGACCGACAATTTTGAAAAAAAAAAAAAACACAAACTATTTTTGACTTTTTGCTATAAAACATCTCCAATAAAAAAAAATTTTCAAAAATCAAATGTCTTCATAATTTCGGCCCAAATGTATTCTGCTACATGTCTGCTAGAAAAAAAAAATCCCAATATGTGTAAATTAATTGGTTTACGTGAAAGTTATAGCGTCTACAAAATGGCGGTATATACACTGGAGTTTATTTATTTTTTTATACTAGTAATGGTTGCGAACAGCAACTTCTAGCGGGACTGTGGCAGGCATTCTGACACTGGGTGGGAACTGACTAACTGCCACTGACATCCCCAGTAACACTAATACAGTGATCAGTTCTAATAAAAAAAAAAAAAAAAAAAAAAAAAAACACACACACTGGGCAGGAAAGGGGTTAACATCTGGGGTAAACAAAGGGTTAACTGTGTGCTGTGTTTTACTAGGGAGACGTGCTGTTTTGCATCTCTCTGCTGTGCAGGCATTCTGCAGCGGGCATTCTGACACTGGGGGGAACTGACTTGGTGTAACTGACATCCCCAGTGATACCGATACAGTGATTAGTGCTAAAAAAAAGCACCAACACTGTACTAATGGCACTGGGCAGGAAGGGGTTAACATGAGGGGCGATCAAAGGGTTAACTGTGCTGGGAGTGTTTTACTAGGGGGCTGTGTCAGTATGCTTCACTGTAAGCACACTGCTTTGGATGGCTGTACTGTGCACAGCCATCCAAAGCAGTGTGCCTGAGCTGACAAATAGGAGAACTGTTAGTGAATAAAACAGTTCTCCTCCCCATTGGAGATTGTCGAAAATAACCGGGCGCCGCTGAGTAATCACCGGCATCCGGTGATTGGCAGCCGCGGCTGCAAATGGCAGCGCAGGTAGGGGCAAGCGCCCCCTACCCGGAAATGCAAAATCACGTATATATGCGCACGTGATTTTGCGCACCCGTGCCGCCCTGTTTTGGTAAATACCTGAAAAAAATAAAATTGTGTCTGTGTCTAAATATATATGGACCTAACTAAGTACCTGAAGTAAATCAAAGAAAATGTTGGTGTTGCCTAAACCATTGAAAAGAACATTGGAACACATACCTTTGCTTTTCCATCTCAGCCTCTGAAAAAATGGAATCTGCGCCTCCACCGTTACAAACCATCCCACCAACATCCTCATCAACGTCATCCTCATCAAAGTCAGAGGTGTTCAGGAAATCAAAGCTTTCTAAAGCACTCTCAACAGTTAGACTTATACTGGAAGACCTGCTTCGGTTTACAGATGGCTTGCACTGCAAAGGCAGAAGGGACCAATGAAGACCAGACATACTTGTCACATACAAAATATGAGAGAGGAACACATTGCAATAAGACATACCTGATAATTGGGATTCTGGATCTCCTAATATTTTGGGTTGCTTTCTACAATGGCTAAACCAGAACTCGTAATATAAATATATCTGTCTATCTCAATCAGTGTTCATTACAGCAAACCTATAGACATTGTGCCACTCACCAGCTTTTTCTGCTATCTTGCGGTAATAAACGAACGGAAAGGAAAATTAGTAGCGAACTACTAAGCTGAACTCCTTTTGGAAGCCAATCATTGATATCATATGGCCCCTGTCAAAAGGAAGATTCTGGTTTTGGCAGAGATATCGTTTGGGAACCTGTCTGCAAATCCAACTGCTGGAGGTAATGGGGGAAAAAAAAAAAAAAAAAAAAAAAAAAAAAAAAAGTATTTTATGATCCCTCTTGTAAAACGTACGCATGAGAATGGCTGGTGGAGTGTACTATGACTTAAGAGAAATGTGTTGATAGAACATGGACACCACCATTTCTAGTTAAATGTTATTTCCCAGGATGCAAGATGATTTAATGGCATCAATACTTTCGAAGGCAAAGACATATGCAGATTAGGAGTTTTGGCTTTGCTTTGACTTGCTGTACATGCTTGGTCCAGATCAGAGACTGAAGTCAAAGACCAAGTATAATTTAATACTTAAAGTCTCAAGCTGTATAAGAGCATTCTTTTGAAAAAGTTTTTAAATTATGTGGAGACATTCTGGAATGTTTCAGCCTTAATTATTAAATGGAACCTAAATAGGAGAGGTCCTTCCTTCATAGACAATCCATGCCAGAGGAGTAAGAATGAGTTGGGAGAGCTGAAAGCCTCTGCACTCTCTGCAGCTTAAAGTGCCATGTGCTTTGACAAGATTTTCATTAAAAAGGGACCCAGAATAAAACACCAGTTTATACTATTTTCTTTATTTCGGTGTTTCATCTGCTATCTCTGACAGGTTCCCCTTCTTGACCTTTATTATCATTCTTCCCCTCTGCAGCTGTCTTGTCAGACCTGATGGAGCTTGCAAACCTCTCCAATAAATGCAAGAACTTTGCCTTATGTCTTATGGCTTCAGTTCAGTTGCAAGCTGAAAAAAAAAAGAAAAAAAAAAAAGGAAGTGTAACATTTTTGCAAACTTCGTTCTGATCCACTAACAGACATTGCAATGTGCTGCAGCATGTAAAATGACAACTTACAAGAAATCCCTGCAATGCATTGTCACATTGTGCTTCAGAGCAAGTCCACATAGCAAACCAGCATGTGCACAAATTAAAAAGAGAAGTATTTTTCCCCCCATCTATACTTACCTAGGTGGATGCAGCATCTGTCCTCCGCCGGGGGGGGGAGGACTCAGCAATCACATGACCACTGATTGTGGAGTTCTCCCCTACATGGAAAAAAAAATATATTTGAAATATATTTTAAAAATATTCTTCCCAAATATATTGAATATGGCCAAAATTGTAGCATTTCAAATATATGGCAATATATTTCAATAAATAAATAAAATAAATTAAATTAAATTTATATATCATATCTTTTCCACACAAATAGAGCTTTCGTTTGGTGGTATTTGATCACCACTGGGTTTTTTTTCAATAATATAAATGAAAAAAGACCAAAATATTTTGGAAAAAAAAAAGTTTTACTTTCGGCTAAAAACATATCCAATACAAAATATTGATTAGTTTGTGTTAAAGTTAAAGCGTCTAAAAACTATGGTATACTGTATGTACTTGAATTTGTGTTTTTTTTTTTTTATACAAGTAATGAAGGTCACCTGCGACTTACAGTGGGACTGTGATCGTGTGGCAGACTAACTGACACTGGGTGGGAACTGACTATCACCACCAGTGACACTACTACAGTGATCAGTGAAAATACTATACACTGTCACAGTACCAATGGCACTGGCTGGGAAGGGGCTAACAGCTCAGGGTAATCAAGGGGTTAAGTGTGTGCCTAACAAGTGTTAATGTGTGTATTATGTGCTGTGCAGGGAGAAGAAACAAGGAGATAATTCCCTCTGTACAGAACCCTGTGTTTGTCAACACAAGGCTCTGGGCTGTGATTGGACACAGTTGATCAGCAGGTCCTGGCAATGAATCATTGACCGGGACCTGCTGACACAAACCCGCTGTGTCTAAATCACAGGAGTTGGCGGGAGTGCAGGGGCACACGTGAACCCAGAAGGCGGCAACACGTACGTCGCTATGCCTGTAGGAGCTTCCCATCTGCAGTACAATGCGGGAGGGCTGTTCTAAAGTGGATAATCACTTCAGGAATAAGAATACAATGTTCAGCAACAACACATTTGCAAATCTGTATGTAATTTGCATTTCTGACCATGTAAAAGACTCTCTTCTCAAAAAAAATATTGAGCAAGAAAAGAAATATTGATCATTACAGTTTCCCTTTATATGCAGTAACCCATAGCAAACAGAGTACATCTTGCACTGGTCTTACTTTATCTGAGTGAACTTCGATTGTTTACTATGGGCTACAACACAGAAGAATGAACGTTTAAGAATGAGAACTCGTTTGAATATGGCCATATGTAACAAAAAAACAAAAAATAAGATGATGATGTTCACATGATTAAACCATGCAGTAATAGCACTGGGAACATTCTGAAAAACGTAGAAAAAGAATGAAAACATGTTAAAGTGGTTTTAAATTCTATAGGGTTTTAAGCTTAATGCATTATCTGCACGTTTCTTGCTGTAGGAACACACACAGAAGAGGAGGACTGGCCAGCACCAGTGGGGGACCCCAGAAGAAGAGGTTAGGGACCGCTCTGTGTAATACCATTGCACAGATCAGGTAAGTGTAAACCTCCTATTTTGATTAATAAAAATAAAGGTTTACAATCACTTTTAGGAGTAAGGTTTTCCTTGGAAATGCTGAGGCCTGTGTCACAGCAAATTAAAATTCAAAGCAGACGTGCCATTGTAGTTTAGGTTTAAACATCAAATACAAAGTGAATGCTATTGCAGAGCAAATTGATGCCTTACAAAGTACAGAATAGTAGGCTGTATTTTAACACAAGAATGCATAAAAATTATCTATATGCTCATGGACCTCATATTCTGCTTTTTTTTGTATAACAAAGTACAAGCATCCATATCTACCAAATGTTACCTCTTTTGCAGTCTTGTAGTGAAAATGTTGATTTCTTTAATGAAAGTCAATAGCATTTTCTAAACCATAAAGATTGTTTCCATTGTGTAATACAGAACTTAAATAAAAATGCATTCTTCAGGGCTAAGGCCAAGTTTGTGGAGATCTGCTGACCCGGGTGGGAGATGGGAACCTGGCTCGCAGACCGATTGAATTTAGAGCTGCAAACAAAATTCTTCACACCACTTCCATCACCCCCTCTCCGACATACTCACCCCCCACCCAAAACACTCTCCTAATCTCTGTATATACCATCTATTGCTACCTCCATTTTTACCCTACTCTGAAACCCCTCTGAGGTTACGTTAGTTGGCCAAGGGACTACACAGGATTGGCCTCTACTTGCCTACAGAGCAAAACCCTGGTGTGGAAACACCACCAGTATTAAACACTCCAGAGATATCTCCCTGGTTCTCATTGGAAACAACTAAATGTGAGGTCTACAGAGACCTACAGTCATGGCCAAAAATATCAGCACCCCTGCATTTCTGTGAGATAATGCACCACTTCACCCCAAGAAAATTGTTGCAATTACAAAATGTTTGGGCATTCTCATGTTTATTTCTTTTGTTTGTATTGCAGTGACACAAAAAAAAGTGGAGAAACACAAAGCAAAATCTGACACAATCCACACAAAACTCCAAAAATGTACTGGACAAAATTATTTTCACCCTCAATTTAATATTTGGTAGCACACCCCTTGTAAAAAATAATAAATCATTCACTTCCTGTAACCATCAATGAGTTTCTTACACCTCTCAACTGGCATTGTGGACCACTCTTCTTTCACCAACTGCTCCAGGTCTCTCGGATTGGAAGAGTTCCTTTTCCCTCAACTGTTGTTTTGAGATCTCTCTACAAGGTGCTCTATGGGACTGAGATCTGGACTCATTGCTGGCCAGTTCAGTACTCTCCAGCATTTTGTCTTAAACCATTTCTGGGTGTTTTTTGATATGTGCTTTGGGTCATTGTCCTGGTGTGAGACCCATGACCCCTGATAGAGACCAAACTTTTTGACAGTGGGCCCTACATTGCACCCTAGAATTCTTTGGTAGTCTTCAGATTTCATAATGCTATGCACACAGTCAAGAAAGCCAGTGCCTGAAGCAGCAAAGCAACCTTAAAACATCAGTGAACCTCCACCATGTTTGACTGTATGGACTGTACTTCTTTAAAGGCCTCATTTCTTTTTCTGAAAGCAGTAGAATGATGAACTTTACCAAAAAACTGTAAATTTTGTTTAGTCATGGCATTTTCTCCCAAAAGGATTTTGGCTTCCTCATGTACATTTTGGCAAACTCTAATCTGGCTTTTTTTATGTCTCTCAGCAGTGGGGTCCTCCAGGGTTTCCTACCATAGAGTTCCTTTTCATTCAGATAGTGATGTATAGTGCAAGCCGATACAGTTGTACCCTGTGCCTGAAGGTCAACTTGAATTTGTGAAGTTGATATCCACCATTCGAACAATCCTTCATTGCTAGCTGATCAATTTTTCTCTTTCACCCACGTCCAGGGATATTTGCTACAGTGCCATGGGCTGTAAACTTCTTTACAATGTTGCACAGTGGACACGGGAGCATTAAGAGATCTGCAGATGGTTTTGTAACCTTGAGTTTGACCATACTTTTCCACAATTTTTGTTCTCAAGTCCTCAAGACAATTCTTTGCTGCTCTTTCTCTTCTCCATGCTCCATGTGGCACACAGAGACACACACAACAGAGACCTGTTACCTGATACAGGTGAGCTTAATTACAAATTACAGGGGTATAACAATCTTGGAATGCAATTATTTCTTACAATTTTGAGAAGATGCCAATCATTTTGTCCGGTCCATTTGTATTTCCAATACAAAAAAAAGAAATAAACATGAGAATGCCTAAACATTTGTAATTGCAACAATTTTATGAACAAAGTGGTGCATTATCTGACATAAATGCAGGGGTGCCAATATTTTTGGCCATGATTGTACAAATTATTAAATGCGAAGCCTACAGACATGAATTGGAACCATCACATGATTCCATTTGCTAAAGTGTCTTTATTATGTACAGCATCCCCTTTTTATTTTCTAATAATCATTCTGTAGATAAAAAAAAAAAGGTTTTACTGGAATAACAATGGCCATTCTATATGTAAGCAATAGGTAGCAGAAGTTCTAACTAATAATGCAGAAAAAGACAAAAAACTAAAAACAAAGCTCAATTAACAGAGTATAACAAAGCAGGAATAACATGCAGTAACCCATAGCAACCAGATAATATCTTTAAATAGTTTAGACCAGTTAGGGAGAAGTTTGCTAATTGATTGCATTTTCACACTGCTGCGCTGCTTATACTCATCTTCTATTTGCCTGCTGGAGCAAACTAGTACTTCTAGATATGGAGTAAACATGAGACCCTCGTCCCTTCCACTCACGATGCAGCACTTGTTCCTGAGTAGCCAATGGCCAGGACAAAGTATTATCATGTGGGGCAGGATTAGAGTCCTTAGTCCTGTGTAAGTTCTGATCTACATGAAGTTTACACAGCGCTCTTTAAACTTCTCTCTCGTTTGTGAACAGAGTGGTGTTGAAGTAAAAAGCAGATGAGTATATGCAGCAACTTGTGGCAACAAATAACCAAACTTGCTGTTCCACCTTGTATGCAAAACACAGGTTCACCTTAATATCCAAAACAGCCTTGTTAGTGATTCAGTACTGTAATAACAAATGTCATTAGAAACATATGTTGTGAATGTTAGTATATTTTTACAAGAGCATAGGTTAATGCAGCCACCGATTAAATACTCCACAAAACACAAAATAAAATAGGCATGCAGAAAGTTTTAAAAATGATTGAAACAAGGAAGGGGACATGCATAAAAACATTTTTATTGGAGTGAAACATATAAAACATCAACCTGATGAAATAAACAAAAATTGTCACATTAAATAAAGGTGTAGGCCATGTTGTACATATAACACTTTGACAAGAAAATCATGCTTTGTGACATTTGACGGGATAAAAAGTGTTTAAATTCTGCACATTTAGAAAAAGGCATATTTCTGTGAAATTATAAATAAAAATGCTTCAAATTATCTAAAAACTAACTCCTCTTCCCTAAGTAAATTTAGTGAATGTGCTAAATGATGTGTTTCATCAAAAACAACAAATGTGGAGAGATTAATTTTTGGTATTTTGGTGTTGGTACAATGACTTTATGTAATTATCCATAGTAACTCAGCTATCCCACTAGCTTCATAGTCTATAGTCTTGTTTGTGTACACACAGGCTACTTAGAGTCTCTAAAACCAAATCAAACCCTAAAAATGAAACAAAATATCGTTCACAAGAGTGGCACTGCTGCAAAATTCAATAGATTGTTAAAAAATCCTACTTTGTGGAGATGGCTATAAAAGAACTGGATCTCCACCTTCTTATCACAAGATGTCTATGTGGTCCAGATGCATCTTAGGAGGTTGATGTCATTAGGCTTCTCCCCCTTTAAAGGGTCAAGTCCCCTCAAAGCTGATATTTCTTGATACACACTAATAAACAGTTAAACCAACTGACAATTTCTTCCATTTCTTGTTATCAGATGGTCTGGGGAATCCATTTCTTTAATAGTTACCTTCACCATGGCAGTTCAATCTATTGCATGTTGCCTGTGATCCAGTACCACTTACAGTACAAGAGTGCACAAAGTTTCTGTTTAGACGTTAGGTTTGCTTTCACATTTAAAACTATACTAAATGTTTCAAAAGCCAACAAGGCTACAGAAAAATTGCTAAAAGCAATGACAATGTCCACAGCATAATATAAATACTTTGGCTTTGTAGGTAACCAGGTTGGGTGCTTTAACTGCATTATGAATAGGCAACACTTTCACACATCATCCAAATACACCCTCATTCTTTCATATCAATGTGCACCCAAAGAAAAATTAAAGACAGAGTGATGCTTTGCATTCACTTACTTTTAAAACATCTTCTAGGTGTGTAATTTCCTGGTACAACTCTTGGTACTCCTCAGACTGGTCCTTACAAGGTTCAAGAGTCAGGAGCAGTCCCTGAAAAGATTCCTCCAAACTTCCATCCAAAAAGGATCTATTGGCTTCAGATTCACAACACGTGGAGCATTCAGCCTGGAGTCTCTCTGGGACGGCAGGTATTTCAGTTGATGTAAGCCTTTTTACCAGCTGTTTAGTAATATTCCCTTCACAAGTGTCCAACTCCACAGGCTTAAGCTCAGAAGACTCATCAGAATCTTGCAAAATTGACACAGAAACATTTGAATCAATAAATATACTATTGTCTACTTTGAGAGGAGGGCTTTGGCAAGCAGAGAATTCAAATTTATCTCCTAAGGTTTCCTCACTTTCAGTAATATTCTCTGCATGGGACTGAGAGTCTTGAGATTGACCACTTGAGTCTGCAGAAGACCTGGCACTCAAATTGTCCTTCACAGGTCCCTCTGATGACGGTTCATGGAGGTTATGTTCTGGTGGGGTTACTGTGATTTCTGGATTGGAGTAACCCAACGAGGAAGAGGGAGTAGATCTAGGTGGAGTAATATCGCCATTGGGCAAGTCGTCAAAACTTAAAGAGAGTGCCCTCTTTTCAATAGATTCTACTCCACTATCAAAGACGTCATCCTGCAAATTTGACTGGAAACCAAAAATATACAGTTAAAATAAATAAGGTCTCAATCATTTTGTGTTGCATATAACTACAGCCATAATTAAACATAGAAGTTATTATTCTTAAAATAAAAATTGCAACAGAACTACTATGAATTTATGTATACATATTTTTACTAGTTCCAGAAATTATAAAATACTCTAAACCATAGAAAGACAAATGTTTTAAATTGCTCAAAATTAAGTTATTATCAGGTACCTCAACGAAGGATATAGTTAAAAAATGTTAATATCAATTCATTTTACAAATACATTTAAGCTACTGAGCCAAAATAGAGTGGATCAAAAAATCTGGAAACAGTAAACTTTTCAACACAGAAAACATTCAAATTTGAACACAGAAATGGGATATGAAAGAAAAAAATAGTCAAAGCTATTTACTGCGATAACACTGTATCAGCAGAAATCACACTTAAGAGGAACATGACAGCATTTAAATACCTTTGAAACAATAATACCATTTTTGACAAACAGGACATTGGGAGACATGACAGTGATCCATCAGCTATCTTGCTTTAAAGTTGTGCAGGTGCTAGCAGCCCAGTGCAGTGCATTAAACATAGAACTTTTGACACCAAAAATAAAATGTAAATTTCACTGTAAGCATGCAATGTCCTCAGGTTTCACCTCTTGATATAATTTATCTTAACACTTAAATGTACCATTAACCCTATACTTAAGCTTAAAGTACACCTGTGCCTGCCTATATATAGAAAATTAATAAAAAGGGCTTTAAAACAAGTTATCCTTGCTATTTTTTGCTGCATGTAATTTGTTCCCAAAAAATTTCAGGCTGAAAAGGATTCTGGTGCAATTGGAATTAATAGGAAAAAATATGAAGACTTCAGAACTTTTGCTGTGAACTTGATTGTTGGCACAGTCTCTATAGACATCAGAAGTCATAAGATTGTGCTCGTTTTAAAATCGGTAAATTCTTTAGTGTGCATAGTACGGGCACTGGTTCATTTTAGTCAAATCTAACCTGTCACCTAGCCCCCAACTCAAAAATGTTTGAATTTGTTATTTTCTTTTCCAGAAACCCTGGTCCCCAGGACAAAAGGAAAGGGTAAATTTCCTAGCTGGAAAACAGAAAGCAGTAATTTTGTTTAAGTGCAGGAATAAGATCTTTTGCTATTTGAGTTCAATAATACTGAACCCAAAATGGATTTGTCAAGTCCCACTGGTTTTGGTTAGCAAGCCCTCAAAAGTCAAGGAACCCCAAAGGGTGTCCTAGATGGAGTCTGAAAGTAGAGAATATAATAAACGTGTCAAACCAATGCCCAATTTCGATATCAAACACTTAGAATTGATGAAATTTTTCCAGGTTGGATGCTTCAATAGCTGGTATTATCAATGTATATCACCATTAAGGAATAACAAGCTACACTGGAAGAAATCCAAATAGGAATCTTTATTTTAGCCAGATGGTCTGTCCTTTCCAAATATCATTGAACAGGAGTTACTAAATCACTTTTTTTTTTTTTTTTTTTTTTTTTTTTAATATCCTTATCCTGGTTAGCGGTGTAATTTGAGCATCAT